AATAAATACATAAATAAAAGTTGTGTTCACAAACAATATTAATTTGGTTACTGAAAATCCATTTTCTGGGTTCACACTATATGGTGAATCATAAATTAACCGAAAGGGTTAGGTTCACTCAACATGCTAATCTTAGGTGTCTGCTCTCCCTCCTCGGAGGTTTAAAAAAAAATGGATGGGCATTTGTGCACACATTGGGGCAGCCTAGAAATTCCACAAATAAATAAATAAATAAATACATACATAAATAAAAGTTGTGTTCACAAACAATATTAATTTGGTTACTGAAAATCCATTTTCTGGGTTCACACTATATGGTGAATCATAAATTAACCGAAAGGGTTAGGTTCACTCAACATGCTAATCTGAAAAATAAACACTTAACCAAGGATAAAAGTTACTGACTTTGTCAGGTTGTGTGAATGCAACTACTGGGTTTGTCCCTGACCTGGATAAAATCCCAGAATGAAGAGTTGAAATGGTCCTCAGAGGTCATCCTGTCCAACTCTCTGCCGAGTACAGGATCTGCTAATGCATTTTGCACAGGACAGAATCACTGAAGGTAACTGATGTAACCACTGGCTACATTCCTGAAGCCCAGTAGTGAGCACTGCTGGAAGGACAGGCTGAGATTCCCCTGATGTTTTTCCAAGGGCTATCAACTGAAGAGCGATCACGCCACTCCTGGGGAGTGAATTGAGGGGCGGCATTTTGTAGATATGTATATGTCGACTGGGAGTCCCCTTGTATCCCACATCTTACTTTTGAATAAAAGTAAAATAACTGCCTGGTTCTCTGAGGTTAGGATTTGGGGAAGGCATAAAGCAGGAGATGGAGACCTTCCCCTTTAATGCCAGGTGGGCTTTGAATCCCCTCATTGCTGTCCACTGTCTTCTTCTAATGGCTCCCAAACTTTCCTGCCGCCCCGACGCAATTCCACTTCCAGGATCCCAACTGGGAGGGGGAGGAAGGAGCCCGGGAGCCTCACCACGTTCTCCAGCGGTGCTGCACCAAAAACTTTAAAAACAGGGTTGGGTTTCGAGGGGGAGATGCACAGAACGATCGCTTGCTGCCCGACCCGAGTGGTGTATTCGTCCAGGGTAGCACGTAGCTTCCTGTGTCAGGAGAACAAGAAAAGAAAGAACTGGCTTTAAAAGTCATTCCCTTCCAAGAAAGACTATTCCACACTTCGCTTTGTGCTAGGTCTCCTGTTTTAAACATTTCCTCCATGTCAGGTTTGCAAATGTGATGCATGTCTCCCATCCCAACAAATGGTGAAATGGGGTGGGAAAATATACTTCGTTGCATGGATGGCCTGGGTGGACCTGAAAGGGCAGGACAGATTTGGGGGCGGGAGGAAGGAAATGAAGCTATGAAGTCTGTGCAGGGACTACAGAGCGTATCTCTGCCCTGGGGCAGGCAGGCAGGTTTTGAGGATAAAATGGCGGAGCAGCAGGAGCGAAATCAGTGGTGCCTCTCTGGGTTCCCTAGAGGATAAAAGCACCACAAATAAGCCAATCTGGCTAAAAGAACCATGAAAGGCTGAGAGGGGACAATTGAGTGCATTTTGAATTGTGGCACCAAAGCTTGTTGATTGTTATCATGCAAAAAAGCACTTCTTTCTACACAAACAAGGGATCCTCAGGTGGCCTGGTGTACCTCCAAGGAGCAGCTAGGTAAAGAGAATGCAAGGAGCAAACAGGGAAGAGAGCCAGAAAACTCCTCGTTCCACCCCTACTTTTGCTGAGGACTCATTCACTGGCCAAAAGCAAGCCGCCTTCTCTCTGTGTCTCCCCCCACCAGCCTGCATACACAGGGGTCGTGAGAATGTGCTGTCCCACGCAAGGCAGTTCTTGGGACAGACTCTCTGCTTCTTCCCTCGATCCCCTCTGATGGGATGCAAAGAGTACAATTAAGAGTAATGCCGGCTGACTTGAAGATCAGCTCAGGGCATGTTTAAGGAGATGTGGAGTCAGCCATGGCTCCCTAGAATAGCAGTACAATGCACCATGATTTTTAGTCTGGTACAGAAACAGAGAAAGCCAACAGGGGGGTCCTCAGCCACAGACGGCTTCTATCCTGTGCGTGCAACCAGGTTGTGAAGGATTAAGCAGCAACCGGTATGTAGATCTACATACAGAAATGAGCCCAGGCCCTCTCAGCAAGCTTGAATGAGAGCATATGTCCGGTTCGATCCCTTGCGGAAGGGAATTCCTAGGGGACGAAAATGAAGCCAATGAGAGTCTCGGGGAGGGGATCATCCATCTCGCAACTCCTGCAGGAAAAGCAATGCATGCCTATCGCACCTGGGGCATGCAAAGAAGTTGGTCAGCTGCAGATGGCTTTGAAACTCTCCTGTTACGGAGGTGACTACCATTATGTCCCCAGCTTTCCCAGAAAAATTACTTCTGAGAGGAGGCAAATGCTGAGAATGAAGCATAGAATTTGGCAACATTTATGAAAGACCAGAGACCTTCAGCCTGGCTCCCCAATCTTTGCTTTCTCAAATTCTTCTCCTCTCTTCCACCCTTCCTTGCTCGTGGCTGCTTACGGGCTCCTTATTTTAGTTCTTTTTTATTTTAAAGAAGCTGCTATGTGGGATTTATGATCTGATCATTATTGGGGGGGAAGGGCAGGGACCTACAAGTACCATTAAAGTCTCCTGGGCCTTTCCTGCCAGACAAACCAACCATTCACTTCCTTCATATCCAGGCTCCTGTTACTCTTCTGGAAGGATGTCCAGAAGCATTCTGTAACATCTCAGCCCCTCAGTCCATTCAGTTTTCAGGGTGGCTATTTTTAAAGGATGTAACTTACAGAGTTGGCAATGTAGCCTGGTGATGACCTTAGGGGCATCTGCAGACCCCAAACATGAGATGGGCTTGCATGACCTATATGAGACTACCCGTGAAGGTTGCTAATGGGGAATACAGGACATTCAAAGTTGCACCCTGGTTCCAAATTACAGGTCATCCTTGTTTAGCAACCACTATTGGGACCAGCCACTCGGTCATTAAGCAAAGCGGTTGCTAAGTGAACCCGCAACTGTGCTTACAATCTTCCTTCAGCTTTCCTTGGCTTTACAGACCTGCGAAAGTCGTAAATGCGAAGACTGGTTGTAAAGTTACTTTTTCATCACCATCATAACTGCGATGGTCACCCAACGAGGCAGTTGCTAAATGAGGACGACCTGTAGAACTATTAGCTTAAGAAAAACTTCTGCATTCCTCTCTTCCCCCACATGCACATTTATGCCAGCTAGGTTGGAGGAACTAAGAACAAATGGGCAGGAAACTTTTTTAAATGGGCTTTCAAATGTTGCCTAATCCATTAGCACACTGAAGCTTTCTGTGGCATATTGTCCACCAGAGGAGTTGCAACTGCCAACATCTCAACCCCACCACGGGACCAGTCACTAAGACAACCAAATCTGCCAAAGCACCATGGGGTTACCCCACTGATACCAAGCAAGATTAAGCCACAGGTTACAACAGCAGGCCGAGGAAAATGTGGCTGAACATTGCATCAGAGAGGCCCTTGAGAAAAGGGAAACAGAAGTGCTCTCAACTAGTACTTAACTTGATTCTTCCTAGGGACGGTGCAAGCACATTCCAAGAGACACATGTTTTATATCCTAGACTTGGGCACTGCTTCAGACCTTGCCATTTCCAGATGAGGATAAAGCTTCCGTTGGTAACTAGCAGAAGGTGACACTACTATCAGGGTACACAAGGGGCAAAAATATGTAGCTGCCCCACCAGTCACTCCTGCTTTGGTCAACTGTCATTTGGACTGCTGCAATGTGTTTTACATGGGGCTGCCCTTGAAGACCACCTGAAAGCTTCAGAGGGTCGAGAATGAAGTTGCTGGGGTAGTGACTGGAGCCTCTAGGTTCTCCCATGAACACCTTACTGCAAGAGTGGCCCTGGTTATCAGTTTCCCTCTGCAAGTTAATCTGGATATACGGGACTGGATCTGGATATACGGGACTGCCTTTTTACATGGTCTTCTGCCTACCCAATAAGATCAGGAATGGGGGGTCCCCTCCCTCCAGGACCACAGGGATGAGCCTTCTTAACTGCAGTCCCCCTTCTCTGGAACAGCATTCCTCCCGAGATCAGATTGGCTCCCATCAACCAGAAAGTCTTTAAAACCAGGCCCTTGGGAGAAGAGGCATAATGTGGGGGACTCTCCTGCTATGGGGTGAGATGCTGATGGTTGCTGCTGTGTTTTTGTCTTTTGTTAATTTTTTCCCCCTAACATTTGTCTTATTTTGCAGGAAGTGAAAGGAACAGAATTACTGAAGGCTGAAGGGAAATGATGGCAGCACGTTACGTTCTGCAGAGTCTCTGAAGAAAATGTATATTTTCTCCCAGATATCTGCTGGAGAAGGGAGTAAAACCAGCTGGATGACGGAAAGTCAAGAGCCCTTCCCACCAAGTTTAGTAGCTAAATATTTGGGGCTATTCTCCTCTGAGGACATGGACATGCATGTGCTTCATTGTCAATTAAGCCAAGTCATTTCAAAAGGAGAAGAAAAAGATCCCACTGTAGTTTTTCTCCTGGACGTTTTTTTTTCTTTTGAATTTTAGAGTACAACACACTTGAGTGTATGAGTAAGCTAGAAATCTAATCTATAAAAATCACACATTTGAAAGGCCTACTCATATTCCCCTCTCCCGGCCCTCTTGTTGTTTCTTCTAATACTGACTGCCCCTAAAGAGATCCACCTGTCTTGGATGGAGGCCTGGGAAATGATGGGAGTTTCACCCACTGGAAAACAAGTAACTTCCAGCCCAGCCCTTTAAATAAATGGTGCGGTACCAGGGCTTAACTCCCAAGACCGGAAATTGCCTCCCCACTCTCTGAATGGCAAGGAATGCTGGAAGATGGAGGACCTGCCATCCAGGGAGGCAGAAATCTCACAAGCCAGAATCTTCCCAGCAGCTGTGACCACAGAGAACCAGTCCTGTGCCACGGTCTACGTAACATTCTTGGATCTTCTCTGATCAATCTCTTGGAAGGAAGCAGTGAGGTTCTTTGGTGCCCTTTCAGGATGGTTCCCTGAAGCTAGCTTCTCTTCTTGCAGGTTCTGGAACACCAGACCTCGCCAGGATTTGCCCCCAAACACCCTGCAGGCAGGAGCCCCAAAGCAATCTCTCCTTTCTGTCTCTGTATCATATCTCCAGAAAGGAGTAATGCATTCCCACCATAGGTCATGTTTCTAAATGGGGTGTTTTTCTGCAATTTGGGGAGGGCTCTGCTGTGATGGTGTGAGATAAAAGCAAGAGGACTGACCCTGCCACATCTGCAGCTACTCCCCAAAGAAGTCACTGTTATTTTCCAGAGCAGCCAGGAGGGCTCCTGCATGGAATTCATTCGTGCATGGAACTTCTGCTCTGCTTCTCAGCAGCTCCTTCAAGACAGCCACTGAACCCAGAGCCCAGAAGATGTAGAGAGAAAAGGGAATGGCCTTGAAGGACAGGAGGAAGAGTGCTACCAAGGCAACAGACAGATCAGAGGGGCATGAGCCTGGCCAAGAAAGTAGTGTGAGAAAATGCCTCGGACAAGCCCCTCCCTAGTTCATGTGAAGATAAAGTGAGGGAGGGAGGAAGCACATTCAGACTTACAAGATTCTGTTACTATAGTCATTACAATAAAAGTAGTCCTGACCTATATGGTGTTGGTTTCTTAGTCTGGTCTACCTTGTAGGGCTGACCTCACAACTGGCTTGCAAGTCAGTTGCACTGCTCCCTACAGCTTGACTCACTTGCTCATTGGACAAAGCTGGACAGAGGAAGGCCCATCCGAATTCAGCAGGACAGAGGGTTCCATACCCACCCATACCCTCTGCTTACAGTCTGACACTTAAAATACAACCCGAAGGCCCCGTTCTGCCTCCCAGCTGGAAGAGGGAATCCTGGGGCCTGCCGCACAAAGAGGGGACCAGGTATCCAAACAGCTCTTACCGTAACAATCGCGTCTGCTGCCTCTTGCGGATGGAGGGGTTGGACTCAAAAACGTGGGGGCGCTTCCTTTTTTTACCTGTGGCCACAGCAGCAGCTGCGGCCATTCCCACCGGGCCTGGGGACGAAAGAGAGGTCTGAAACATCCAACAGAGCCAGCCAAGGAAGTGGGAGAGGTCTTTCTAACCAGGGTGCCCTCCGGATGCGGTGGGCGGCCGCTCCCATCCTCCCCAATTGCAAAGCGGTGCCGATGGCTCCTCCGAAAGGGGGCAAGCTGGCCATGGATTATGGCAGCTGCAGTCCAAACGAAACTGCAAAATACTGAGTTGGCAAAGGCCGATGAAAGCCACACAAATAATAGGTGCTACCAGTTTAATTCCACAGAATACTTGGGAGGCGTGGGGCAAGTTTATTCATCATGTCAATACAGGTTCTGGGGTGCAGGGTGCATTATCCTTCACTGAACATTCACATTTCTACAACCAGACTGGAGTGTGAAAAACACTAAGGGAACATAGGTTTTTCTAACTTTAAAGTAAGGGCACCAGGCGACCAACTGAGAAACTAAAAACAAAACAAAACAGATCTGTTACCATTATTGTACTGCCCTCTGCAGGTTATGCCTTTTCATTAAACATTCTGATTTCAGGAAAATCCTGAAAAATGCAGCCCCAAAACAAAATGGCATTTACTTGCTCCTTTGTAAAATCAAGATGTGAACCTGAAGACCCTGGCAGGGCAATTTCCACCCCACTAGCAGCTCCAAGGTAGCCCAAGGTTAGCCCGGTGAAATTCAGCAGCAAAACGGCTGATTTTGGGCAGCACAATTGTTCCTCCGTTTGGAGGATGGGAATGAGAATGCCAGACCTTTGTGAGGCAAAGTGCTTCAATCCCTACCTTTAACACATGGACACACCCCAAATGAATGAAAGTGAACGCGCCTGGCCTTTCAGGAACATCCCTTTATTACCGGAAGGGTTGCTGCAAACTCTCGGCTAATTAAAAAGATAAACTGGCAGCCCCCCTTCTCACCGCTTGCCAGTGAACCCCCGCCTGTCCCTTTCTGGACAACCCTCAAGGTTTCGGAGAATGAATCCTGAGGGTCTTTGCCAGACAACTCCACAGGGCCTGATCGAGTAAGATGTAAAAGAGAAACAGCTGGAAGCTTTTAAAAAATTCTTGCAGGAATGGGTAACTTATTTTCAGTCTTAGCAAATACAAAGCAAAAGAGTGCGGCCAAACCCCAGCAATTTTGTTCCACCTTACAGCAGTGTGAGCTGGTGGGGCCCTGAGGTCTGCAAAGATGGAGTTGGGAGGGAGCCCGCATGCCTCCACCTGTCCCAAGGTGTGGATCGAGAAGGGGGCTAGACTCAACCAGAGCCCACCTACCTGCAGCAGCCAGGTGGGCAGTCACCTCATCGGTGGCCGTGGAGTTGAGGATGTCAGAGTCGTCATAGGACGTGTCCTCAGGAGAAGACGGGGAGTCTTCGTCAGCACTGAGCATGCTGTGCTCCGTGTAGGTGGCCACGTGGACCTGCTGCACCTGCTGGGCCACCGCGTGGGCCTCTATGGTTGCCATGTGCTCCGTCTGGGTCACCGTATGCTCCTCCATGAATGGCTACTGTGGCCGGAAAGGAAGCAGAGGAGAAGGAGATGAGGCCCAAAGCCGCAAGCCCTTCGAACCGACAAGTCTACGAATCAGCAACGGCCAAGCTGAAGAAGAGAGGCCTACAACGTTTTAGTCAAGAGTCGAAAGAGGCAGAACCCTGAACGCAGAAGACCGGCGAGATTGCAGAACACAAACTGTGCTAGCAAACTAGCAAGCTAGTAAGAGGTACTACAGGGTAGGAAAATCTCTTACAGCAGCCTCAGCTACAAGTGTTAAGCTTTTATCGTATTTTACTGATTCTTTGGGTTGCCGGTTTGCTTCAAGGTATGATTCAAGGTGCTGGTCGCTACCTATAAAGCCCTCCATGACATGGGACCCAGTTACTTGAGGACCTGCCTGTCTCCCATAGCATCTGCCTGCTGATTCAATCCTGCAGGGTTGGCACACTCTGGGTTCCTTTGATTAAACTAGTGTTTCTCAACCTTGGCAACTTTGAGGGGTGTTGGCTGGGGAATTCTGGGAGTTGGAGTCCACACCCCTTAAAGTTGCCAAGGTAGAGAAACACTGGATTAAACAATGTCATCTACTGGGATCCTGGAAGTGCACCTTTTCTCTTGCAGCGCCTGCCCTCTGGAACATTTTATTTGTAACCGCCCAGAGTCAGGTAGCATATAAACTTAATTAAATAATAATGATTAGTAGCTATCATAGTTCACCCATCAGGTTTGTCCCAAAAATGCAAGCCTCTTTTATCATGCACCTATTTTGCCCTAAAGGTACAGCACCTTCGGCAATAACGTTTTCCAATGCTGGAAACCTCTCTCCAAAACGTGCAAAACGTCTTTAGAGGTCTCAAGTCTTGTTCTTCCAGATCAAACTAAGGTTAGCAAGTGCCTTGGAGTCAGCAGATAGTCTTGGTTGGGAACAAAGGGAATCATATTTATCACCGAACTAGAATGCGAGGGATTTGGGCCTGCTGGTTTTCCCCACCGTTGACACACCCTAAGCAATGTTTCTGAATGGGGTGGTTTTCCAAAATGTCTTGGGGCTACAGCTGCTGGGAATTTCGGGAAAGGCTGGCCTTAGGCTAACGTGGGGGTGAACTTGCTAGGAAAAAAAAACAGCGGAAGCCTTTTCCCCTGCAATTTTGACACTAGAAATAGCCTAGCCAGACACGGAAGGATGAGCACAGGATGATCTTTAAAAAAAAACTATGTAAATAAATAAATACATGACTTAAGGATGGTTGACCCTGGTAAGGACATGGGCAAGTCCAGGCAGCTTTTTGGGCAACATTTTTGGAAGTGCTTGCCACGGCCTCTTCTGAGGCCTGTCTATCAAAAGACTTTTATTCTTTCAGGATTTGACAGTGCCGGGTTGAACATTACCTCCATGAACATTGTTATTTCTACTGTAAGGATGCTATTTATTTATTTACTGGATTTAGAAGCCACCCAACTCCCAGATGACATTTCAAAAAATCTGCATTCCTCCACCTTTTTCCTCACTATTTGTTGGGCTCAAACTGAGCCTCCCACACATAGATATGGCCACTGCTCCTAAAATGAAATCCCTTCTTTTCCCAGATCTGTGTTTCTCAACTTTGGGAACTTTAAGACGTGTGGACTTCAACTCCCAGTATTCCTCAGCCAGCATGAGAACAGAGAAAGCGTGAGAAAGCAGCTTAGACTTGCTCCACCCTCATTTGCTAGAGCAGGGTTTCTCAACCTTGGCCATTTTAAGATGTGTGGACTTCAGCAAATTCTGGGACTTGAAGTCCACACATCTTATGGCTAAGGTTGAGCAACATTGCCCTAGAGAATAAGGAGGGAAGGCAAAACACAGTCAAGCTTTCAAGATTGTGTTACTATGGCCTAGATCAATAAAGTAGAGTTCCAGTCAAACTTGTGAAGTTGGTCTCCTGATCAATCTTGAAAGCTGGCATCAATCTTGGGCTGGCATCAATCTTGAAAGCCTGGCTGTGCTTCCCTTTCCTCTGAGTTTCTTCCCAAACCCCAACCCTAACCCTTTTCCTGTGTTAAGGCATGTTTTTGTAACCACCTCTGCAGAGTTTCTCCAAGGTCACCTCTGTGGCTCTCTATGAGACATGACTACAATTCCCATCACCCAGGACACTGTAAGTGGGGGGAGAGTGCCATTGCCCAGAATAAATGGAGGCACAGCAGGTTGCAAAAGACAACAACTGGCCGTGCTATCTTGGGATGACAGGGGCTGTAGTCCACTAAATGTTGGGAAGCTGGCCACTGCCCAAATGTTTGAGATGCCAGGTACTCTGTTCAGCATATCTTGAGAACACAGCGTTGGAGAAAACTAGAAAAACCACGATGGCAGGAACATGGAGGCCTCCAATGAGAAGTGTGTGAGCTTCTCAGTGGTGTAGGTTGGTGGCCACTGAAATGGACTGCAGGTAGACAGGAGTAAGGATGTTGCTAGAAAACCATGAGAAAACAGTGACCTATCTTGAAACTGGAAACTTGGGAGGATTGGAATAGACAGAGGGAACTAAAAAGGGAAGATGTATTAAATTGAGTAACACGCCAGTTCCGGAAGGTACATTTAGGATGGGCCAAATGTTCTGCAATGCAGTTCTTCTGCTCCATGAATGGAAGAACTTCATAGTTTTCTATGTGGAAACAAAAGCTGAGCCTTGCTCAAACACATATCCTTCATTTATGGCGTGGGTGGAATCCAAAAGTTTGCCCGGTCCTTGGACTTTGCACCAGCCTCCCCCAACTTGGTGCTGCAGAGATGTGTTGAAAGACTTATCAGCCCCAAGCAGGACAGTCTTTGCCCAAGATGGTAGAGGCTGATGGAAGGCAGGAGATTAGCTTTTGTTAAGAAGGTATTATTCAAATATAGGTGGTTAAGCAATGCATTTTTCACTGTTTTGGGCCCTGTTGTCTGAGCTTGCACGCACAAAACCTGCATTGCCTTGAAAAAGAAATACATGAATGCTGAATGCGATCTTCTGGATTTTAAATTGGATCGCACACTTATGTAAATGGCGACTATAAAGTCTGAGCGAGAGGTTGTCTACAGCATTTGCTTTTCCACTGCTTGCCATGCAGGCAGGTTTGCTCTTCACCGGCACCTTGTAGGAGTAGGAGGAGAGCTGTGTTAGTCTACAATGGCCAAAAAATCAGAAGAAGACTGGTAGCACCTTTTCCCACTACCAGATTTTATCAAAAGGCATCAGCTGATATGGAAGTGCCACTCCTTGCCCCAGCTCTTTAAAGGGAAACGTTGCTTCAAGCATATGGCTACAGACTCATCTGAAGCAACTGGAGAAGAGCTTCAGCTTTAACACCTGGATTATCTGCAGCTTACTCATTTTGCTATGTCATCTGACACTACCACTTCCCTTCCGGGACTGACCAAACGGATGGGGTGGGGTGGAGAGAAGAGCTCCGAATTCTCCACAGCTGCTCCTTTTCAAGCAAGGCAAGACTAGATGGCCCCTGACCGACCACTCCTGCCTTGTGAATAATCTGATCAGCAGGAAACTGAACACGCAGAAAGGTGAACACTGGCATGATTTGTATTGGCCACAAAATTCAGGTCTTTCTAATCACTTTTGCAAAATAAAAACCTACAAGACAAGGGGAAGCGGAGCACTGGAACAGGTGACAAGAAAATAATGACCAAGTACTAAGCTCTTCAACTATACACGAAGCCTCTCCAATCCAGGGCCCTCTGGTATGCTGGACTTCAATTCCCAGAATTCCAAGCTAGCACAGAATTGGGGAAACCCACACGCATCTGCTTCTATGGGTACCAGAACATTGTGGAACAGCAGTCCTCAAAATGGAATCCAGCTTCTGGTTGGTTCTGCCTATCTTCAACCTCCTTTCTAGGAGTCAACACCTAAAAGCCTCACAAAGTTGTGTCGATGTGGTTCAGCTGTTTTTCTCCTCTTGCTTTTAAAAGAATGGCATGGGCCAGACCCGGAGTGCCATGTCCTTCACAGCATGCATTCTTCTCTAGTGACAAAGTTTGACACAATACAAGGCAGCCCAGCTGATGATGGCTGGATTTCAAATGATTTAGTACCATAATTTCATCAATAACAAGAATGCAAAATATAGTTTGCAATCAACCCATGGATCCTGAACTTCTACATAACCCCAAAATGGTTCCTCCCCTCATTTTACTCTGATTCTAGTTCTACTTTGGCACAGAGGGAAGTTTCTTCAACAGTGACAATCTTCTTACATACACGTTACCGCTGGGGTCCTTTCAGTGCATGGGTTCAACTGATTTCACAAGGCACAAAACATTCCCCCTTTTAATTGATTGCTGCCAGTTATACAGCAATATAGGATATATTTGGCATTGTTTTAAACAATGCTCACATTTCCTGCTTTGTATCTGCAAACTTGGGGGTGGCTGATCTCTTACGCTCTCATTTCCCCTTCCTGGGACATGAAGCCTTTTTACAGCCACTAAAAATATCTGAAAATTAGCCCTGTTCTCTTGGTTTCTACTGCTCTCAAATTGTGGTTTTCTCACGATCGACGGCGTAGGTGAAATTATTTCCACTCACCCACAACCGTACAGGACAGAAAATGAAATGAAATGGCGGGAGCTGTAACGTTGGAGGCAACAATTCTGATCAGAAACATTGACAACTTCCTACAACGAAGCATTATTCTCAAACAAGCCTCTTTGTGCAGCTTGCGTGACAACCCTTTCTGAAACCCATTTGTCCAACCACCTCTAGAAGAAAGCTGACCTGTTTGTAT